TTGTCCCTTCAAGCTCGTTGCCAGATATACAGCTCTCTGTTCTTCTGTCCATTCATTTATCTCTGCCAGTAGCTCAGACTGTGCTATATATGCTTCCCACGGAGCCTTCCCATCGAATTCCTGTGGCTTCCTTCGCACTGGATCACTCCTATTCATATCTGGGATGTGACTTCTAACGGGACTGAATATGTCTGCATTAGGGTTTAGCTGCGGGCTCTGTAAGGGGCTTGCTATTGTCTGGGGCTGATTAAGTCGATGGTCAATGTATCCTCCTTGTGTAACACACAACAAATCGTTCTTTAACGTATCTAATTCGCTTTTAAATTTACTGATGTTTTCCATTTGTACCTCTTGCCATTGTTGTTGATTTTCCTGTAATTGCTGCTGACTTTCTTCCTGTTTCCTTTCTTGTTCCAGTTGCCATTGCTGTAATCTCTCTTCTTGTTTCTTTTCTCGTTCTTGTTTATTTTCTTTTTCTTCCAACAACTGTTGTAATCTCTCTTGTTTATTTTGCTGTTCGAGCTGCCATTGTTGTAGGTTTTCTTGCCACTGCTGTAATCTTTCTTCTTGTTTCTTTTCTCGTTCTTTTTGTTTCTTTTCTTTTTCCTCTAACAACTGCTGTAATCTCTCTTCTTGTTTAATTTCTCGTTCTTCTTGTTTCTTTTCTTTTTCCTCTAACAACTGCCGTAATTTCTCTTCTTGTTTCTTTTCTTTTTCCTCTAACAACTGTTGTAATTTCTCTTCTTGTTTCTTTTCTCGTTCTTCTTGTTTATTTTCTTTCTCCTCCAACAACTGCTGTAATTTCTCTTCTTGTTTCTGTATTGCTGCCATCAAATCTGCTAAGCTGTAGTTTGATTTTCCGCCTCTCGTTTCCATCTTCTCTTCTCTTTTTTTTTACTCAAATTGGTGTCAGAAGTGGGATTTACGTCTCCGTTTGTTAATTAACTTTCCGTAACTTCGTTCCGACGAAACTTTAGCGACACAAGTCCTTACTTAATAAAACTGGTTTATTCTTTCCGAATATAACTTTACGATACACTTAATTTCAATATTCGCGCTAAATCAAACACTATAACGAAAGAACGTTAACTTCAACAATACCCTGTGACTGCAGTTCAATTACTCACTACCTACACACACATTATTATTCCGTCACGTTGTCACCCTCTTTTATATACCAGACTACCCTATATCTAGTAAATGCTAGAGCATTCGCCAAGGTACAGGATAGTTCTAGAAACGTGGCGTCACACTAGTCATGTGACTTCGCTGACGCAACAATATAAATAAACAGAACTAATAGTTTATAAGTTAACGTGAAGAGTTCACATAAAGCTCCACGTGTAAAATACTGGTTGTATTATAAACTTAGGGGTATGACATGGAACTCCATGTGTTAAATACTGGTTGTATTATAAACTTTGGGGTACGACATGGAGCTCCATGTGTTAAGTACTGGTTGTATTATAAACTTAGGGGTATGACATTGAGCTCCATGTGTTAAGTACTGGTTGTATTATAAACTTAGGGGTATGACATGGAGCTCCATGTGTTAAGTACTGGTTGTATTATAAACTTAGGGGTATGACATGGAGCTTCTGTATTGTAAAAATCCTATTCTGTGGAATAAATCAATTAATGATAATAAAAGTGTACATTTTGTGTGTAGAAGTTATCCAAAAAACAAAACAAAACAGGATATATACTCCTAATTCAAGTCTTCTGATAATTTATCCCATTTACTGTTTCTTCAATAATAAATCAGTAACTTTCTTGACTTATTTTATGCCTTTAATTTGATACAGTATTGTAGTTGTTTATATAATAAAAACTTCCTAGGTGGCTGAGCAGTAAGCTTCACTACTTATAATTGTTAAATACATTCAAAAAAGAGAATATTTATAACTTTAAAATCTAACTCGGGACAAAAAAACAAAACAAATCAAGTGATCTTGTTTCAATTATACAGTTTTAGGAAGTTAACAAAATATTTCAATAAAATCTTGTTCATATTATTGGTTTGTTTATACAGCATAAGACACAGTGGTGAGTTATAAAACCTTGTTCATACTATTGGTTTGTTTATACAGCATAAGACACAGTGGTGAGTTATAAAACCTTGGTACATTGTTGATTTGTTTATACACCATAAGACACAGTGGTGAGTTATAAAACCTTGTTCATACTATTGGTTTATAGAGCATAAGACACAGTGGTGAGTTATAAAACCTTGTTCATACTATTGGTTTATACAGCATAAGACACAGTGGTGAGTTATAAAACCTTGTTCATACTATTGGTATATAAAGCATAAGACA